GGGGGGGGGGGCGCTCCGGGTGTAGCTGCGCCCCCCGCCCCCTCCCAACCACCCTACCTTGGGGGCGGGGTGTGAGGGCGTATCGCGTCACCCGTCGCGGGGTTCGTTGGGTTTCGCATTCGGTGGAATAGAATACAGGAAGGTTTCGGTAAGCACGTCGCGGTGACGTCGAGAGCGTTGCGTACGCGAGTGGGGGGCTTTTTTTGCGGTTGTAGCCCTCAGGGAAGTACCAAAACGCGTTCTGTTCCTAGAAACTTGAGCATTTCAGAAAGAACTCTTTGTGTCCTTGCAGGTACTACTACTGTGCTCAAGCATAAATGCGTCAAGGCGGCCATTCAGAGTAATACTAATGGTCAAGGCCCTTCTTTTCCCCTACCCCCTCTCGTCGACCCGACGCAGGCAGAGAGAAAACAGGTCCTCAATTCGAGCACAGTGTTTTGTGCTAAGGACTTTGCTGCTTTTCAGTCTGTAGAGAGGGAGGGTTTCATGGACTTGGCACATAATCTAGTTGATATTGCCAGCGCGTCTGGTGGTAAGAGGGTGGATGTGCGTCGGCTCCTTCCAGACCGTACTACAATCAGGTAGGATTTGAAAGGCTTTCCGTGAGTTACAGAAAATACTTTATTTTATTACGTTTTTTTAAATCCATAGGCACCATATGAGTGAGATGGCCGGCCAGATCAAGGTAGAGTTACTTCCTAACTTGCTAAAGGCTATCGACAGGGGTACGTGTTCTGCAACAACCGACATGTGGACGCAAGAAAATAGAAAGCTGCACTTCCTTACTGTGATTGTCCACATGCCCGACCCTTCAGGGGAAGGGAAGCCAAAGCCACGCACTGCATTCACCGTACAGTTTGATTTTGAATCGGCTTCTGGGGAAAATATCTGGGCCCAAATCGTCATTGAGTTTGCTTTGCTAGGCATTCCTGAAGAGGATGTCAAAAAATTGTATTTGTTACTGACCGTGGCTCAAACGTTGTTCCTGCACTGAAAGGTTGCGTGCGGTTAAATTGTACGGCCCATGTCATAAACACCGTGCTTAAAACAGCCCTGTCAGTAAAAAAATGTGAAGTGAAAGCCCTCAATGAAGAGGCCAGTCAAATTGTCGACAAAGTCAAGGCAATCGTAATTGACCAAAACAGAAGTCTGCCAGCAAGAAGCAAATTTTCTGTTACAAAGAATGTGAGGGAAGGGGCTACTCCTCTATCACATGTGCCAATGCTGTCTGATTTTGTCAGGAGGTACAGGGAGGTGAGGGCGCTATTGTAACTTTACTCTATCAGTCTAGTATTTTTGTACCCAAGTCGAGTCTAGGGCACGATGCATGTGCATTATGCCTATCGTGAGTTAATCCTTGTACTTGTTTCTATGCAGATTGAAAAGCGTTTTCAAAAGACGTCGAGAACGATGGACGTCGATATTGAGAAGGTTAAGGACCTGTTGCAAATTTTGCGTCGATTGAACAAAGTTATGACTAAGCACAAGGTTGTCGACTTGGCTGGCTCGGTATGGCCGCAGGTGCAAGCTCTCGTGTCGCCAAACCCAGCAGACAGCACTATGGTTGCCGCTCTGAAAGAGCAATGGCGGGAAAGTACCTTGCCCATGCAGTACGCTTTTGTTCACCAGGAGTGCAAAAATCTTGTGTCCTATGTTAGGAACTCGACCATAAATAGTGCTCTGAAAAAACTCTGAAACCTGAAATGGACGTTAGGTGGAACACGTCATTGGAAATGATCAGGTCAATCCATCAAGTGTATGATGAAGTAAGTAATGTTTGGTAAGAGTGTGATAGTGAATTTCAATTGCAACACGGCCCTGCGTCCTGCGTAACACGCGATACGTTGTCTCATTTCCCGGACCGACATTCCTGTGGGGCTCTATCGGGTGCCCCTTGCCCCGTTGGCTGCAGTAGCTAGATAGACCCACGACCCACCACGGGTGAGGGTGAATGCGCGGGTCGCGGGGCTGATCCGCGACCCGCCGCGCCGTGGGCGTGAAGTA